GGGTGGCCGGATGCTTCCTTTTAAAAAAATCCGGTTCAATTCCGCTTTCTAGGAAGTGAGTGGAGATATGTGATCCTGTCAACTGTACGCTCCTGCCCCCGATCGGAGATTGATATGAAGCCCACGAAGAGCTGGCAGAAGAAGTACCTGGGGTTTGTTACTGACCCAAACCAGATCAATGTCGGCATCACGCGAGCTCAGGCAGGCCTCTGCATTTTAGGTGGGTCTCCTGGGAGCGTGCGCAGGCCTGCGGGGGAGCGGGATGCTTGGATAAAGGGGTGGCAATCCAGACTAGTACAACCGATGGTCTTGCTTGATTCTTCTGCCCTTTAGTCTGTCTGTGGTTTTGAAACTGGGCTATCTGGGCAATCTGTGCAAAGCGGAGATCGTGCATGGCTCGTATGCAGCATGTGTAATTAGTTTTTCTCGCCCTCCGGTTTGGACCAGGTTGTTTCCATCGCTTGCATGCTAGAGCTCTCTCCTAACAGAATTTGGCTGCTTATTTTCCTCCTAATCACACAGGCGTAGGCTGTGATGCGTAGGGAAGCTGCTCGCAGATATGACAGCGCTGAAAAGGGAGCTGGGATTTCACAGAGCTCTGGCTAAAGGCAATGTCCCGGCAAGTTATCCAGCACCCTTAGGCTAGAAACGTTAGACAAAACTTTCTGCGACCGGTCTGTGACGGTATCGCCCGAGCCTCTTCCGGCCACTAACGCGCTGCCTCCATCCCTGTGCCAACAGGGAACCGGTACCTCCTGGAGTGCAACCCTTTGTGGAAGAGGCTGCTTCAGCATTACAGGCAGCACAACTGCTACGCTGCAGCCCAGGAGATTCTTGTCAGGAAGACTTCAGCTGCCCGCCAGTGAGGATGGGTTGTGCCTCGATGAGCTCGTCCCTCTCTACCTGAACTGCGTTACGTGTGCCTTGGGAAGGACGCAATCTTTCCATTATTGAGTGCCCCAAGGAGCCAAATGCAGCGGGGGAGCCAGGATCTTCCCCTGCGCAGCGACAGCTCGGCTTCAGCGCGTGCTTTGGCACCTTGGGGTTTTTAATCGGTGCAACCTTGGACAGGAGATTCAACTCTAGCAAACCAAAAAGCATTGGAAATGGATGGATGGGGGCTTACTGATGATGACGATGATGATACTGGTTTTGTAACTGTAAGATCCTCAGTGGAGCCGCCATCCTATCTGCCGGTGCAGCTGCGCGTTGGGGACCAAACACTCAGTCCATTCGTCGAGGGTGGAATGACTGCACGCGACGGAGCTGCGCGGCAAGCTGCCATTTGCCATAGAGGACCAAAGCTTCTGAGTGCTACCACTCCTTTTAAAACCAAGGCCAGGGAATTTTTAAGGCTTCCCATTTCTCAAAGCAGAAGAATATTTTTTGTTTTGTTTTGGGGTTTTTTGTTGTTGTTGTTTTGGGGTTTTTTAAGTGAAGGAAGAAAGCAAAGAGAGAAGCACGTACTGCTCTTTGTCTAGCCAAAGCGCCGTTCTCTGAGTGTGTAAATATCACATAGCCAAGGCCAAGTTGATTTTGTAAACAGCTTTCCTTGTTCTTTGTACAAAGGAGGTTGTCCTCACCGGTATAAAGTTAATGAAAAGCGAGGACCACTCCTACCAGGAAACGTTGGAATTTGTAAGTGTATTTTAAACTGTTCTGAGTTTTATTTGAAATCTCCTGTAAAAGCCCCCCTTTCCTACCCCATATGTTTTTTTAAAGCTGCTTCTAATTTATTAACTTTTAACTCTGTGAATTTGTTTCAGTCTTATGGCCTGAGTTTTTAAGAGCAGTGATGGAAATTTGATAAATGTACCACAGCATATATGTGTATAATGGTTTGTTTTTTGTTTTTTTTTTTAATTTTAAGTAGCCAAACTGCTGTGAACTGGAAGCCGTGATTCACTAGGGAAGGCTGCTTTTGCCCGGTAATGTATGGCCGATACAGATGTATAGATAGCGGTGAAGTGGCACTCTCTGCTGAATCACGGAGCTGCTTTTTGAAGCATGCTAGTTTTGAGGGAGGGGTGTCTTTTATCTCATTTCAATTCTGAATGTATGAAGTGCCTGCCTCAGCTCTCCCCAAGACCGCACGCTTGGCTGTCTCTAGACGTTCACGTGGGATGGAGCCAAGACGCAAGCACGGTGGTTTTGCACCACGTGTGTGCTGTGCCGGGACGCAAATCCTCCTTGGTGTTAGCGAGGGGGTCCCCGTGACTTCACAGCGCTATGGCAGGGAAGAATCAAGAAGAATCCCGTGTTTGAACTGAAAATGCAGCATGGCTTTCCCAGCGTGGAGGAATGTGCAATAAGAAAGCGTTGTGTCTGGAAAGGTCCTTATTTAACGCTGTGTTTCGTCTCATGGCTCTGTCTTAGACTTGACTTGAGAACCTATGGAGAAATGTTGTTCTCTTCCTAATTTTAAACTACCTTCCTGCACTTCTGCATTTGGTGGGTTTGATCTGTACGCTAGAGACCACCCAGGCTTGCTCTTGTCTTACTGAAGCATAATAATGGGCATATGGCTGGCGATTCCATGAGGGACAAAAGCCCGTAGGAAGAACCTCCTGCTGGTCCTAAAGATGCTTGATAAAAGCTGGTAAGGTGTAAAGTTCATCATTCCTCTTTGAAGTCACCCCGGCTGGGATCTTAAAAGAGTCTGCGCCAGCCTGGTTTTGCAAGCATTACTGCAATTCCAAAATAAGCTTGTACAGGAATCATTTTGCGGACTACTGAAATGCAATCATGTATCTCCAAGACGAGGTGGAGAATTGCAAAAGCTGCTGGAATTGTTGGGATAAATACTTTAGCATGGTGCCAGCGTCGTTCCAACAAAGTCATCTTGGTCCCTTTAGAACCGGCGGGTCTTGTTTTCATGATCATTAGATGTAAGTGAAGAGTTTCTCCCCTGGTTTTTTTGCTGGTTATTTCGTTAAATGTAACACAAACGAGGAGACTTACCCCAAGCGTAGGGGCTCAGTCCAGTGCTCTTGTGTGAGGTTTGGCCATGTGTTTGTGTAGATGAAGGAAAAGACCTTACAAAGCAACTCCCTTTGCCCTCAGTGGGGAAAAAATGTTTACTGCTACTCCTTGGAGTAGAGCCTAGACTGAAATGCTTTGCTTGGTCACCTCTGTGTTGCAAGACAATATACTCCCCCCTCCGCCCCCCGAAGATGCATTTTGTAACTGGTGTTTAGGAAACGCTGCCCGAGACCACCCAAACAGCAGTAAACAACCAGGCTGGACTTTTGGGCTGTTTGGGCTGTGAGCAGGAACCTGCAGAGTTGGTCATGCAGCTGCAATAGTCAGGGATAGCAGAAAGTGCAATTAAACTTTTTATAGACTGTTAGTGACAGCTGAATATCGTGTTCTTGTCCTTACGCTCGTGGATAGACTCATAGAAATCAATAGAGGAAAAAGGTTCAAAGTAGTCTGGTTTCGTTTGCACACAGAGCTTTGAATTTCCTTTTGAAAGAATTTTATGTTCAAGCACATATTCCTAAAATACTTACAAAAGACCAGAACGGCCAAAGCTTTGGTAATTCCAGTAAGAAACCACTGGCAGCCTGGTGCGCAGGGTGTCTGTCTGATCGCAGGCTCTACATTTTCCACAGCTCGCAGACAAAAGAACGCTGTTGCAGGACACAAATGTCGGTTCATCCAACAGGATAACTTCATTTCCTCAGCCCTAGCTGGAGTTTGAGCCCAGGCTGAGCAACGGGAACCTGCGCACGCAGCAAGCGGCGTGCCAGGCGTCAGCCGGTGACGGCCCGTGCGGTTGCAGCCGTCGCCCTGCATCCTGCTGGGACTGGCTGTGAAATTCCGCAAGTCCAGGACTAGGAAACCTCTCCTTGGCTCCAGCTGGCAAAGGAGAAGCCCACGGGACTGTTTTTGAGGATTTGGACAGATCTGTGTAGGACAATCAATTTACTGCAATAAATTGTTGGGTTTTTTAAAAATAGAAATGAAATGTTAAGTGTCATGAAGTGTAAATTAAGGAACTTTAAATGTGGCAGGTTTTTATCTTTTGTATGTCTGTGACTTGCAGCAAACCTCAAAAGATGTTTTGGATACAAATATTTTTACCTGCTTCTACTGTTTATAAGAATGAACCTCAACATTCCTTTTTTGATATTTAAGCCATAATTGTAAAAATTATTTGAATTTATTTAAATAATAAATTTTATTATGAAAAGGTCCATTGATGTGATGTGCTTTGACTAGAACCTGTGTGAGGACAGCTATATTTGGACTGAACCAAATGGTAAAAAGGAAAATGAGCATTAACTGCAGTCCATGGCAGAAAAGATTGGTTTCTATATACTGATCGTATGGCTGTATTAGCCTTCCCTGTTTGTTGTGGAGCCGTGGGGGGCTGCTTGGGGTTGGTTTTTTTTTTTGTTGGGTTGTTTTGGGTTTGGTTTTTTTTTTTAATCGCAGTGATCTTTTCACACACTGCAGAGGGGTGAGCATGAAATCATGCTTAGGTACCTATAAGGCGCAGGGTGTCGAGGGTGCGAGGAGCCAGAGATGGAGGTAAGTTAGGGTGAGTGATTTGGAGAGCTTAGGATTCAGTCAGGTGTTTGGGAGGAGGACACGGGGGAAAAAAATAACTTGGGGCAAAAAAACCAAACCAACGTCACTGCAAGAAGCTGGCGCTGGGCATCTTTCGGTGGCTGGAAGGATGGAGATGCTTCTGTCTCCCGTGCTTTGCAGCCGCCGTGTCCTGCGAGATTCCCTGCTTCTAGCTGCTCCCACCTGTGAGTTCTGGGAGGGAGCGCTGAGTCCCGAATCTGCCCAAGGATGTTGTTTTGTGGGGGAAATTTGGAATGGGTTACTGTTAACCGGGAAAGACTTGGGGAAGGCGCTTGTAAAATGGTCGTTGAAAACAGAATGAGTTCAGGTTTACGCAAAATGTTTAAAAATAAGGTTTACCTTTAATTTTTCTCATTCATCTTTCTCAAAGGGATAAAATGAGAAAAACGTTCTTGTGTGCCACCTCATGGTTCTGGTGCACAAGAGCTGCTGTCCACGTCTTCAATAGCGTCAGTTTTTGTCTTCAATATAATGCTGTCGTGCCATTTGTTAAAGACGACTGTGTGAGTGTGCGTTCTTCTAATTGTGAATTCGTATGATCTGCCCGGCTGCAGGCCCTGCACTACGCACGTGTTGGAGGTGACGTTCTGCAGCCTACCGTACCCCGCTTCCGTCTGACTCCCGTTTGTCAGTAAGGTGATGTGCAGTTCATACTGCTCAAGGTGTGACTCTTGATTTTCGGTAAACCACTTGAGCTGGGCCCAGTCCTTCTGTGCAAATGATTCTCTTCGATCAAAAATCAGCGGCATCTTTGTACAGAGGGAAAGCCTAATGTTGGGGAGTCTAGTGCCTCTGAGATCTGCATGTGACACCAAACGGTGCTTGACGTGGAGCTTTCCTGGCACTTGCAAGGAAAGGAGAGTTTGCATAAACTCGGAGAGCTTGGACATTCTCTGCATAATCAAGTCCCACTGGGAGAGGAAAGTTATCATGTCAAAGGTCTCCACGTAGCAGCTCAGCTCCTCCCGACCTCGCCCCAGCTGTTCTAACAGCTCAGTTAAAAGCGACAGCTGGATTTCAGTCTGGTTTTTTCCCACCTTCTTCATCCTCTGGAGTTGGCAGGGGTCGATGAGTTGCAAGATGTCAGTGCGATGCATCACGTGGTTCTGGTCTCTCACGTACACGTGTTTGGGCTCAATGTCCAAGTAGAAGGAGCTCTTCTTCAGGAGCTCAACTTTGTCCTGGTGGTGCTGGAGGTGGTGGGGGCTCAGGTCGGAGTGCAGGAACTGCAGAACAAGGCTTCTGCTTTCCAAGTACCTCTCCCAGCTGGCGCTGTCTGGCGGCTGTTCGCCCTGCGCACTGCTCTCCGAACTGGTTTCACGCTCATTCAAAATCATAGCCATGATTCCAAAGCTCAGTTGCTGTGTAAGAAAGCAGCGATAACGTCATTAAGAACCAAAGGAAAAGCGGCTGTGAGGGAGTATAATCATGGCTGTGACACTTCTTTCCTCTCCTAATTAAAGCTTAGCTTAGAAATTTATAGATGGGAAAGAACTGTTAGCGGAGATGTAGTTCCAGAGGAATTTTCCTTTACAGTTGTACGGTTTCTAATGTTTTGTATGGTCTACCTTTGATACAGTCCAACCAACTGGTCTCCTGCTACCCCTCCTTGAGAGGCTCTGCGTCTGCTTAATAGATTTACTGTCAGGAACTAGGCTCTGATACACTGCCGAAATTTCTCCCTATCTTATTATCTTCTGTTTCGTTCTAATTAGATGCCTTTGTACTCCTGTAAGCAATTTCTTTCCATTCTTCTACATCTCTGGAGATGTCTCTCTTTCTCTCTTTGTAACCTGCCAGGCTGTTGAGGTTTAAGACCCAACTTCTAAGCCAGTTCCTACAGCTACATAATCAGCGTGGTGATTCCAATTAACCCTCTGCCCCCCAAGCGAGCGGGTAGGCAGCAGGCGGAACCATGCAATACGCTGCGTGCCACCTCACAACAGCTTTCAAGAGGAACGCTAGCGTTTCTCCTTGCACCTCTGCCTTCAACGGTGGTGGATTGACATATAATATATGTCATAACCTGCCCGTGAGGTATTGCTTTCCCTTTCTTTGGTTTCACTTTCCGTCATCGCCTTGGCCCATGATACATACTCGCTCGTAGACGCACGCTGCTGGTCTATAAGCAACGTGCAGTTAAGAGAATGAAGCACACGTAAAGCACCTGCGGACAGGTAACGGTTTGCTGGTAAGAAGGTATTTCGGCAGCGGTCCCTTGCGACACCGCGTCTGGCTTGGTCTCGGCTGTTTCATTACTGCCAAAGCCCTGCCCTGGCTGGCGGTGCCTGCAGAGCCAAGGGGGGGAGTGTTCCTGCCTTACGCTTTAGCTGAAGTACCTGTGGCTCCCGCAGCTTACGTATCATAAACAGGAATCAGCTAAATCAAGGCCTGTGCCCCTGTTGCTGGTGGTAGGGTAATGAGAACCCAGCTTGACGCGGCGAATGTGGCTTTCACGAGCTGAACGAGCTTGATTTGTAAAAGGAGGAAATGCGGAATTCTGAAAGCAAGGTTTTGTGGCCCCAGTCAGACTGCGCTGACGCGCTCCAGCAACAGGTGTTGCTAGTAACAACTTCCCTCATTCTGTGTAATTTTCTGGTTATATATTTAAGTTCTTGTAGTATCTAACTGGAATATTTTAATTCTTTTATCTCTTGTAGAAACTAGATGGTGATATCTAGTTGACAAAGCAATTTTTCTTAGCCTCATTTTCCCTAAATACATATCAGAACTATTAACACTTCCTCGTAGGAATTTCAAGCGTTTGTAAACCTTTCAGATGTCTGGCCCCTAGCTGCACGACAATTTCTACTAATTCACTCATTCACGGCAGGTTGGTTTTTTTTTTTTCCCCCAAGAGAGCTGTCAACTTAAAAAACAAGCTGCATTTCCTTTTTCACTTTTTTCTTTGCACAAAAAAAAAAACCCACCCAAAAACACCACCCAACCAAAAAAAAAAAAAACCCAACCCCTAAACCAAAGCAGTGCCAGCTCCTGGCATCCCCGTATGGAGCACAACAGGGACAGCACACACAGCAGGTTACGTTACCCCGCTTTCCAAGCGATTTGGCTCCCTGGAGCCGTTTGTTTGCCCACAGACAGAGCTGTGAGTGTGCTTGTTTTCCCTCTCTGTTTTTATATCCCTTTTCTTCTTGCCAGAGCCGGCTGCGTTCCCGGCAGCGCCGCTACCTTGGCAGCCTGGCAGGCTGCGGTTGCACAGGCACAGCCCCAGGCTCGCCGGGCCAGGGTTTGGGGGGCAAAGGGGGGCACCCATAGGGTCCAGGACACCCACGGGGTCTGGGACACCCACGGGGGCTGGGGGTACCCACGGGAGCGGGACACCCACGGGGTCCGG